GCCACATTTAGTAGCCTTTGCTTTTTCTGTCCTAGGAGGCCTTCCTAAACTGGAAAACATTGTCTTGTCTCCTCTGGCAGTTCTCTGTAGTATACAAATCTTTGTAATCGGGGCTGGGAAGGTGGCTCAGTGGTAGAGCGCTTGCCTTGCATGCATGAGGCCCTGGGTTCGATTCCTCAGCACCACATAAGCAAAAAAGAAAAAAGCTGAAGTGGTGCTGTGGCTCAAGTGGTAGAGTGCTAGCCTTGAACTGAAGAGCTGAGGGACAGTACCCAGGCCCAGAGTTCAGGCCCCACGACCAGACCCAAAAAAAAAAAAACCAACAACAAATCTTTGTAATCAACTGTCTTCCTTTAGTTTGTTTCTTTGACTCTAGTGCAGAAAGATCAAGGTTAATATGGGACATAGCTAGTGCTCTAGTCATGGATGAATTGGAAAGGTACCTCTTTGTCTGATAGCATCTAGTACTTTACCTGTTTCTAGAGACTACTAAGAGCTTGACTGGCTTCTTGACCTAAACTGTAGTAGAGCACTATTGTCCCTAATTCACCTGCAAGGTAACAAGGTACTGAAAGAGATTATAAAGTGTTAGCATATACATGGTTGTTTTTTAATGTTGGAGAATGGGTAAATAATTACTGCATATTCTACTTGGAGTTGTTTTAATACAATTCAGCAAACCAGGCAAATTTTTAGTGGAAACTATTTGGAAATAAAAACAGTCAAAAAGCTTTATGTGGCTTTTATGTTTGTGTTTTGCATGTTTTTGGAGCCTTCTGTTCTGTGTGGTCCAAAGGCAAAAAAAATTTCAGCCTATATTTAAATTCCCAAACACTTTAGTGTTTAATTCATTTATCTTTACCAATTATTCATTCTTGTGTAAGAAAAAAATCAGCATCAGAATGTTTGTACTTGTGTTTTCTGAATGTGCTTAATAAAATGTAGTAGATAGAATGAACTGGAAGAAGATTCAGGAGGGAAGAAAAGGATACTAAGTCTATTCCAATTCTAACAGTCTTGGTTTGCTTTCTATCTTAAGAGCTATAAAGTTATTAATTTTATTTTACCTTTGTTTTCATTTACAAAAATGTCCTATATGCAGGGTATAATTGTTTCTTTTTTAACTTGTAAAGCTATGTTAAAAGTTCTATAGGAGCTGGGCACCGGTGCCTCAAGCCTATAATCCTATCAGTTTAGGAGGCTGAGATCTGAGGATCCCGGTTTGAAGCCAGCCCAAGCAGGAAAGTCTGTGAGATTCTCATCTAAGTGGCTCAAGTGGTGGAGCACTAGCCTTGAGCAGAAGAAGCTCAGGGACAGTGGTCAGGCCTAAAGTTCAAACCCCAGGACTGGCAAAAAAAAAAAAGTTATATGTTAGGCATGTTACAGTTTCTTAAGATGAGTCAGGCTCACACCTGTAATCCTAGCTGCTTGGGAGGCTAAGATTGAGAGGACAATAGTTTGAGGCCAGATGGCCAAAAAAAGTTTTCAAGATCACTTCGAAATCAACAACTGGCTATAGTGAGCCATGTCTGTCATCCTAGGAATATGAGAAGATTGAGGGTGATGGAATTCAGAGAACTGATTTGTTATCTTTTAGTCTAGCTCATTACCCATACAGGAATTCCTTCTAAAACATCAGTCTGCATTAGCAACTGCTAAAAAGGGATCTCTGATTTTCTTCAAGGCAGCTTCACCCAGTTATAGAATTGCTATCTGGAAGCTTTTTCACTAAAGCTAAATCTATTCTGTATTTATCTCCTTCACAGGCAGCCCATATATTTATCTTCATGTATCTACCTTCTAGCATTATTTCTTCCCAGCTCTTCTGCACCCATTACACTGATCAGATTTTTCCTTCTGGTTTTGTTACAATTCTTCATCCTCCATCACAGGATCTACCCTCACATTTTCCTTAGTCCCTGGTTCAAAAGTAAATAAATAAAAACTAAAAGCATAAATAAATAGTAAGTTGGGTCCTCAGTGGCTCATGCCTATAATCCTAGCTACTTAGGAGGCTAATAAGACCTATAGAATCCAGATTTGTAGCCAGTCTGGGCACGAAATTCTGAGAGTTATTTCTAGTTAACTGCCAAAAAGCCAGAAGTAGAGCTGTGGCTCAAGTTGTAGGTGGACAGTCCAAGCCCTCCTGACTTCAAGCCCCCCAATACCACACACACACCAAGAAAAGAAATAGCAAGCTGGGAGCTGGTGGCTCACACCCGTAATCCTAGCTACTCAGGAGGCTGAGATCTGAGGATCATTGTTCAAAGCCAGCCCGGAAAGGAAAGTCCATGAGACTCTGATCTCCAATAAACCACTAGAAAACCAGAAGTTGCGCTGTGGCTCAAGAGGTAGAGTGCTTGCCTTGAGCTGAAGAGCTGAGGGACAGCACCCAGGCCCAGAGTTCAAGCCCCAGGACCAACCCCCCCCCCAAAAAAAAAAAAAAAGCAAAACCCTCCCCCTCCCCATACTGTTTATGCTTGTATCAAAAATAAAACATTTTACTTCAGGACTACTAAAAAAAAAAAAATGAAACCCACAGCCTACACCTATTCTCCATTGGCATGACAAGTAAAAGAAAACTCAACTGCTGCTGGTGCCTGTTCTTTGTCACCCATTTGGAATTATCCTATTATTAATATAAGTTGAAAATTAAAGCTGAACTACTTTTTCCATTGAAGTATTATTTGTAGGTTAGCAGTGATTTATAAATATATGAGTAGGATTGATTTTTTTTTTTTTCTCTCAGTGATTCTTCATCGCTTAACCTTTTTCTAACCTTCATTGACTGAAACTATATGCTTATAATCTCTGATTCAGGAGAATTGATTTGTCTTTACACCACACTTAGCATTGATTTGTATGGAACACAATTTGTTTTTCTTATGCATATGCTTCCATTGCTCTTTCTCCATCTGTGACAATGAGTATTTAATTGAAAGGAATGTTATAAGCACATACCTATAATCCCAGCTATGCAGAAGGTATAGGTAGGAGGACTGAGTTCTGAGGGCAGTCCTTGACAAAAAGTGGGAGACCCTACCTGAAAAATAACTAAAATAAATAGAAGGGCTGGGGATGAGTACATGGATCAAATTGGAAGAGCACCTCACCAGCAAATATGAGACCCTAACTTAAAACCTCAGTACAAAAAAACAAAGACATGCCAGGCACTCTGATGGCTAATGCCTGTAGGCCTAGCTACTCAAGAGGCTGAGATCTGAGCATTGTGATTCAAAGTCAGCCCAGGCAGGAAAATCTGTGAGACTCTTACCTCTAATTAACTACCAGAAAAACCAGAAGTGGAGATGTGATTCAAAAGTGGTAAATTGCGGGGCTGGGAAGGTAGCTCAGCGGTAGAGTGCATGCCTTGCAAGCATGAGGCCCTGGGTTCGATTCCTCAGCACCACATAAACAGAAAAAGCCGGAAGTGGCACTGTGGCTCCAGTGGTAGAGTGCTAGCCTTGAGCTGAAGAGCTGAGGGACAGTGCCCAGACCCAGAGTTCAGGCCCCATGACCAGCAAAAAAAAAAAAAAATAGTAAATTGCTAGCCTTGAGCAAAATCGCTCTGGGACAGTACCAAGACCCTGAGTTCAATCCCCATGAAAGACTAGGAGAGAGGGATGGATAGGCAGACAGAAGGAAAAGAAATATGCTAAAATTTAGTGTGAAATCTGCTAACAAAAGTAGTTAAAATCTGCCAGAAAAAAATAAGTTTATAAGGAAGATTAAAGAAGTTAATGTTAAATTTTGTTTCAAAGTAAATAACCACCTTTGAATTGTACTTTGTGCTGGTCTTGGGGCTTGAACTCAGGGCCTGAGTGATACTGTTCCTGAACTTTTTTGCTCAAGGATAGTGCTTTACCACTTGAGCCACAGCTCTACTTCTAGCCTTTTGCTGGCTAATTGGAAATGAGAGTTTCAAGGCTTTATATATCTGAGCTGGCTTTGAACCTTGATCCTCAGATCTCAGCCTACTGGAGTAGTTAGGATTACAGGTGCAAGCCACCAGCACCTGACTGAATTGTACGTTTTAAATGGGGTAGATGTCTTGTAAGACTTGTGAACTAATGTCTCAGTAGTGCTGAGGATTGAATGTGGTGCCTTGTGTATCAGGTGTTCTGCCACTGAGTTACATATTCAATTCCAGATTTTGTTTATTTTCCTTTTTTCTGTACTGGGATTTGAACTCAGGACCCTCATACTTGTTAAGAAGACACTAGTGCTGAGCCATACTTCTATTCCCCTTTTACACTGGTTACTTTTGGGACAGAGTTACTTTTCATTTCTTCCCCAGGCACACACCTGGATCACTATTCACCTCTCTTAGATTTCCCATCTTGGCGCAGTGATAGGTGCACACCACTATGCCTAGCTTCTTTCAGTGATGTGGCATCTTATGAAAGCCCAGGCTGGCCCAACTGCCATTCTAATCTGAGCCTCCCGAATAGCTAGGATCACAGGCATGAACCATCAGCACTCCGGTGAGATTTTTTTGATTTAGAGATTTCTAGCTAAAATTCAGTAACCAGAGATGGAATTCATTATGCTTTTCAATTGTGAGGTTAAAGTCCTTCCAACATATGATTTTTATTCTCGGGGTTTTTTTTTTTTTGTTGTTTGTTTTTTTTTTGCCAGTCGTGGGGCCTGAACTCTGGGCCTGGGCGCTGTCCCTCAGCTCTTCAGCTCAAGGCTAGCACTCTACCACTTGAGCCACAGTACCACTTCCGGCTTTTTTTGCTTATGTGGTGCTGAGGAATCGAACCCAGGGCCTCATGCATGCAAGGCAAGCACTCTACCACTGAGCTACCTTCCCAGCCCCTATTCTCAGTTTTAAGGAAACTTCAACAAGTATGTCTCCAGTGACGTAGGGAGGTATTAGTTGGAAAATTGTGGGTTGCTGTTTTTTCTTACATGTTACTGTGTCATCTATTTTATGTATGTAGCATATTTTATTACAAACCTATATCTAATCTTTCATTATGATTTTGTTGTTGCAGGCAAGAAGACAGCAAGACCCTAGTCCTGGTTCCAATTTAGGTGGTGGTGATGATCTCAAACTTCGTTAACAGCACAGCAAATGTGCTTCCCACCTTTATGTACTCATTGTTTCTAGTTGGCAGAAAAGAATTCATTATAAGACCAGAAACTGTGATAGCTGGAGGTACCACAGTCGATTTCTCAACCCAAGGCAGTAAAAGACACCACAAACTGCCATGGTTTTGCACTATGATTATCATACATGCATTTCTAATGTTTAAAGCATGTAGCCAGTAATAATTTGAAATTTTTTTCTATGCAAGCTTACCTTGTTGGCATTATTTTAGATGAGTGAAACTATCCATTTGTAAAGCTTTTTTTTTCCCTCCATTTTAATTTAAAAGTTCATGTCGTTTTTTTTTAAGAAGTTAAAATTTCTATCAAAGCGTTTTCTTTAGTTGCATTTTTATACTGTTAGATGTGTTATACAGCTTATTTTTAGAAGGGCATTCTTGGTTTGTTTGGTTTTTTTTTTCCCTCCTCATTTCCTTTTGTGTTTTTATAGTCTAGAGCATTTTTAAATTGTTGATATGTTCGCATTATTTACAACCTAAAAAACCTAGTAGCATAGAGCTGTCTGCTACAGCCTTCTAACAAAGTTTACAGTTGTTAAGGTTTCAGTATCCTTTTAAATGCTAATCAGCACCCTTCCTTTAAAACATTAAATTTTTAAATTGGATATTAATTTTAGCCTGCCCTAGATTTGTTTTAAATTCTGTTCTGTAATCATGACTTTGGGTGGAGATACTCTCCTAGATAATACTACTCTACTGAAATGCCTAAAAGAAGTCGCAGGCTGGCTTCTGTTTTATTCAGGGATTTTTTTTTTTTTAAACCAATCAATAAAGGGATACTGGAGCTTCTTCATGTATTTTACAGCATATTAAACTGGAGACAGTGATGACAGCTACAAAGGTATATTAAAATCATATTTAATATAGCTGCTTTTATGTGTATTTTATATTTGCATGCCTTTGTAGAAACAATACTGGGTGAAGAAAGATTAGTCTTAGAAAATGTTCATCTATTCAGAGGATACATTTTCTTCCATTAATTGTCCTGGGAAAACATTGAGTTATAGATGATATTTTGCAAAAGGACTTATTAGCACCTTTTGAGATTAATTAGTGTAAGATTATTTTTAAATAAGCTTACTGTCAAATTGCAACTTTTTTTAAAATATAAGACTGGAAAAAGTGCTGAGTCATTTGGCACATCCTTACAAATACCTTTCATGGTAAATAATTCATTAAATGTTACTACTACATTTACGGATTTTTTGCAAAAATGTTTGCAAAAGTGTATTTTATCATAATAGAATGGCATTATTTTAAAGAGTTTGAAAAACTGACAGTTCAGAAAGTGAAGTCTGAATAAGGTCATTACATTTAAAAAGCATATAAATATACTTGATTGATGAAGGAGGTGTGACTTTTATTGTATATAGGTCTTACAAGTCTTAAACAGATAACTGTATCTCAGAATAAAAATATTTGTTATATATTTGAAGTCATGCATGGTAAGGAGTGTGTCTAAATTGTTGTAAACAGTGCATCATAAAAGGCCATGTTGATCTTGTGTAACACAGTCCTATAAATGAATTTGGTTGGTATTTGGTGTTGTACATCTCACATGTTTACACACTCAGTGCCCTAATTTCCCATGGGGAATTACCTTCTAAGTGGTCCTTACAATGGTGTTGTAAGGTTACTTTTATTACAGGGCTCCTTGTTTTTTGACTTCTGCACATACTTTTTTAAAAAAATAACATGTTATTGCTACATTCTTCTCTGTTGCTTCTATTCGAGGGCTTCAGCCCATCAGTAAATAAAGTCAGTTGCTATTGTGTTCCTGTTGCCATCTTTCTGTAAATATTGAAATCTTCCTATCATTTAGCACTGTACTACTTGTCTTAATGCTGGCATTAAGATCATAAGCCTTTTTCTCTAGTAGTGAAGCCTTTGGAAACTACATTTTTTAAGTTATTGATGCAATTTGATATTTTTTCATAGTCTGTATTTAAATGAAATTACATCATTGCATCATCTTTTCTAAATTCATCTCCATTTTAAAACTTGCCTTAAGCTACAAGATTACTTTTGCCACCATTAGCCATAGTGTTTGTTGTGTGTTTAATTTACCTTCACAATAAACTGTGTAATGAAAACAGGGTCTTGGTTCTTTATTGACAAAACCTGACAATTGCTGTCCTAGTTCTAAGTTAGAACATGAAAAGTGACTTTATTGCTTCTGAACTTTTCTTTGATACTAGCTTTTACTTTATAAAAGAAGAAAGCAACAACAGTGACATCTAATGGTCATTTCTGCCAGTTTCAAAGAAGACTATAAATGTAGATATCACAGTTTTTTTAAAAAAAATCTGATTGCAGGTGGTTATAGTAGTACATACACATCTGTACTACCAGTACTTAGGATAATGAAGCAAGAGTTTGAGATGAGCCTTGGGCTACATGCTTAGACCTAGTCTCAATAATATAATAATAATTGTCATTCTTTAACCCCTAAGATCATTTAGAAGAAAAAATACATTCAGTATCCCAAATATGCATGATCTTTGCCCTCAGAAAACCTGTTCCATCCCCAAAACAGACCCAAACAGTAACAACCTTTTAGGTGTACTGGTCATGTTGACTATATCTGCCTTGGTCTGGTTGTAGGAATAATTGCTGAATTGTTGAATAGGAGCTGAGATTGGAAGGATGGCAGATCAAATGAGAAAAGATGACCAAAGAATTTCAGGTAGCTAGCCAGGCAGGAGTTTAGCCAGTTTGAGAAATAGCAGCGTATGACAGTACTATGGAATTGGAAGGGGATTGCAGCAGTGAGATGAGCCCTAAAAGGTCAGCAAAGTCCAGAATGGGAGGCACAAACAGTGCTGGACTGGACTGGCCTTGCCAGCCATGTGACATCTGAACCATTGCTAAAGATGGAACAGGAAGTCATTGAGGGATTGAAAGTTGGATGGAAAGGGTGCTTGAAAAACTTTCAGGGCTTGGGTAGGGAAGGGATGGTAGGGGATAAACAAAGGACAAACAACGCTCAATAGGAAATTACTCATTACCTTCCTCATGTAACTAATCCCCTCTGTACACTATTTTTACAAAAAAAAAAAAAAGCATTAAAAAAAGGCTTGGGTTGTTTGTCAGTGGTAGTGCATTACGTAGCTCATGTTGAGGCCCTGAGTTTGATCCCTATAATATACACATACATTGTAAACGACATTTTAAGCTAGGTGTGATGGTACATGCTTCTAATCCTAGCACTAGAAAAAAGGAAGTAGAAGGATCACAAGTTTGAGACCAGTTCTTGAATACATAGTGAAATCCTGTCTCAAAAAACAAGGTCTGGCCGGGTACCGGTGGCTCACGCCTGTAATCCTAGCTACTCAGGAGGCTGAGATCTGAGGATTGTGGTGGTTCAAAGCCAACCCAGGCTGGAAAGTCTATGAGACTCTTATCTCCCATAAACCACCAGAAAACCAGAAGTGGCTGTGGCTCATGAGGGAGAGTGCTCGCCTTGAGCTGAAGAGCTGAGGGATAGAGTTCAAGCCCCATGACCAACCCCCCCACCACCAAAAAGAAAAGGTCTAGGGGCTGGGAAGGTGGCTCAGTGGTAGAGTGCTTGCCTAGCATACATGAGCCCCTGGGTTCAGTTCCTCAGAACCACATAAACAAAAAGCTGGAAGTGGCACTGTGGCTCAACTGATAGGTGCTAGCCTTGAGCTGAAGAGCTGCCAAGTTCAAGCCCCATGACTGACAAAAAAATAAAAGGTTTGGGCCAGACATCGTGGTGCACATCTGTATCTCAGCTACATAGGAAGCAGAGATTGGGAGATTTGAGGCCCACCAAGGCAAGAAAGTTAGCAAGAAACCTCACCCACATCTCCCAACTAGTCCCAGCTGCTCTGAAGACATCATGGTTCAGGCTGGCCACATGCAAAACAAGGATCTGAAGGTGTGGGTCTGGTGGTAGAATGTATACCTAGTAAGCAATGGAGAATGTTTTTGGCTTTCAAGACTGCTACATGTCCTGTGTTCGAAGTTACCTAGCATTAGCATTCTTTTGGCCTCCAATGACAGCTCCCATAGCCACTTTCCTGAGTGTTAATATCATCCAGGCAGCTACTAGAGCTGGAACACATGCAGATGTATACCAGCACCAGGGCTTGAACTCAGAGCCTCATGATTTTGCCCAGCTTTCTTGCTCACAGCTGGTGAGCACTTGACCCATACCATTTAGCTTGGCTTTTTGCTTGTTAATTGCAGTTGGAATCTTGAAGACTTTTTTGGTGAGGCTTTGAACTTCAATCCATTAGGTCTTAGTCTCTTAAATAGCTAAGCTTATTGGTGTAAGCCACCTGGGCTGGCAAAACTAGTTTTTACTCCCATTTTCCCTCCCTTATGGTTCAATTGGTAGATCCTGGCAATAGATTCTATCATCTCTTCAATTTTAAAATGTTTTAAACATACCATTTGCCTGTAAGTCAAACATATACTCATTTGAAGTGCACACTTAACATTTCATGCACAGGTATTACCATTTTACATCTGAGGATACAGCCATGAAGAAAAGTCAAGGAAATTGCCCATGACAAAGCTATTAAGTATCAAAACTAGGATTCAAAAGTTTGGGTTTAACTACTGACCTGAGTGGTATGCTACCATGACTTGGGGACATTCCTCATTAGGACATTCCTCCTTCATTTCTTTTTTTTTTTTTTTTTTTTGTCGGTCATGGGGCTTGAACTCTGGGCCTGGTCGCTGTCCCTCAGCTCTTCAGCTCAAGGCGAGCGCTCTACCACTTGAGCTACAGCGCTACTTCCGGTTTTCTGGTGGTTTACTGGAGATAGGAGTCTCACGGTCTTTCCTGCCCGGGCTGGCTTTGAACCACGATCCTCAGATCTCAGCCTCCTGAGTAGCTAGGATTACAGGCGTGAGCCACCAGCGCCCGGCTTCCTCCTTCATTTCTGATCATCTCTCTCACTTTGAGGTGTGGCCATTGAAGTCATTGTCTTGAGTTGGCCACCTCCTCTAAGGTACTTCCTGCTACTCTGTTGGGTTGGGGTCTGAACTATGGCCTCCCTACCTTACTTTAACAACATCCCAAAGCTCTCACTCTCATTGTTAACAAAAACCTGAGTAGGTTACATTTAACTGATACTTGTCTGATACTATTCATTATCTCCCCCACCCTCCCCCCACCTTCTACCTAACCCAACAGGAAACTTAAAGGACTACCCTAACTGCTGGGTTTTTGCTTTATCCAAACAAAATCCTTTTCAGGCCAGGCACTAGAAACTCATGTCTGTAATTGTAGCTAGCTACTCAAAACTGCGGTCTGAGGATCCCAGTTTGAAGCCAGCCCAGGCCAGAAGTGGAGCTGTGGCTGAAGTGGTAGAGTGCTAGCAAAAAAAGCTGATAGTGCCTAGACCCTGAGTTTAAGCCCTACTACTGACACATGCTCATACACACACACATACACACACACACACAAAACAAACTTTACTCTTTTATATTCAGAGGTCTTTGGCTTTTTGTCTTGCCTCTCCCACCAAACTGTCTCACTTCAATTCAATTCTGCTAGAAATAAGATTCTGAGTGTCTTAAAAAGTCATTTCCAGTCTAAAGTTCACTTAACTAAAATTACTCCTCACCACCAATAGAACTTACAGATGCCCAACCCAACTTTTCCTAGATATCTTTCATGCTTTCCACAGGGCAAGTAAATGTCTGCCCTGCAGCCATGTTAGGTATGTTAAATATTTTTGTCTTTCAAGAAATGTTCTTTTGTGGTTTGGTTAATTTTTTTTACAAAGAAAATGGATTGTTCTATATACACTTCTGCACATAGCTTTTTTTTTTTCTTTTGGAGTTCCCACATAGGGACATACATTTGTTTCTAAATCAGTATTATTACACACAGAGGATTTAGCCACCTCCCTGCAGAAACCTCAATGACCTCATTCTGTGATTTTGGCATATGATGCTGCAATGAACATTCTCTTATTTTGTTCTTGAAACTGCCAGTAGCAGTGACTTCAAAATACATTTTTGTGGTTCTGGGGTTTGAACTCAGGGTGTTTAGCTCGCTAAGCAGATGCTCTCAGCCCTGTGACTTTATTACTGGTGTGTGTTTGTGTGTGTGTACTAAGGCTTGAACTAGAGCCCAGAACTCTCCTTAGCTCAGAGCTCTTCTTAGTGGTGATTTACTACTTGAACCACACATCTTCTTTCCACTTCTTACTTGTTAATTGGAGACAAGTCTCTCAGCTTTCTCTACGTGGACTGGCTTCAAGTCGATAATCATAGCCTCAGCACTGGTGGTTCATGCCTGTAATCTTAGCTACTCAGGAGTTTGAGAACTGAGGATCATGGTTTGAAACCAACCAGAGTAGCAAAGTCCATAAAGACTCTTCACTACTCAGAAAAAGCCAGAAGTGGCTCAAATGGTAGAGAACTACCCTTAAGCACAAAGAGGCTCAGGGACAGTGCCCAGGCCAAGTTCAAGCCTCAAGACCAGCAAAATCAAAACAAAACAACAATCATATCTCAGCCTGCCCAGTAGCCATACGATTGCCAGCATTCTCTCCCACACCCACTTGTGACTTCTAATTTTGATAGTCTCCCATGTTACATTCCTATCAAGTCAGTTTGAGAATTTAGCACGTCATTGAGGTAGGCTATAGGTCATAGGGGAAAAAAGAGGTAAACTGCAGAGTGGCTAAAAGCAGATGCAACTGCGGAGCTGTATTTCATCAGCACTACTCCAAACTGGGACCAACTGGGACCAACAGGGTTCTCCCTGAGGACTACTGATTGTCCTTTTATTATAAATATGGAAGCTTCATCTCATTTACCTTGCAAGTTGCTTATTCCCTTATATGTGACTCCATACATGGAGGGGAAAAAAGATAAGGATAAAGGGGATGTAAGCCCTATTCCAGGAAAATCCTGATGTGTCCTTAGAATTCCCTACTTCCCTCCCCTAAACTGGTGTATACTGGTCCTAAGTTTTCCAGTAAATGAGCTATTCAAAACCCAGCAATTCGTGTCTCAAGAATCATGCACTGGCCAGGTGCTGGTGGCTCATGCCTATAATCCTAGCTACTCAGAAGGCTGAGATCTGAGGATCATTGTTTAAAGCCAGCCCGGGAAGGAAAGCCGGTGAGACTCTTATTCCCACTTACCCACCAGAAAGCCGGAAGTGGCACTGTGGCTCAAGTGGTAGAGCTCTTGCCTTGAGCTGAAGAAGAGCGCAGGGACAGAGTTCAAGCCCAGAATTCAAGCCCCACGACTGACAAAAAAAATAAAAAATGCACTCCCACCTTGATAGTGTATGCTTCTGCTCTGAAATAAACTTCCTTTGAATTCCTCACTTCGTTTTTGTCTCTGGATTCTTTCTCTTCTAGTGACAAGAACCTGGAGACACTGGGTTGAGATCAGCTCTAAGACCTCCCCAGTCTTCACCACCACCAACTCCCCTGCTAGAAATCTTGAGGGTCTGTATCATGGTAAGAAGTTAAGTTCTGTTGCCTAGAACCAAGGAACTTTGTTAAAGACCAGGGTCTTTAACCTGGCTGGGCCTCTTACATTTTCCTGTAAAATGACATCTGAGGGTGGTTGTGAGCATCCAGAGACCGATGAAAAGACCTGGCATCAGAAAAGGCCTTAGCTGCCTTGTAGTTTCAAGGTACCCCAGGGCATGTAGGCCGAAAGCTCAGCCTTAACACAAGAAGAGCCCCTCCCTGCCCCACGGGTAGACAAGAAACTGAGGCGCCCAAGACCTCCAGGGTTTGTCTAAGATGATGAAATGTCGGCAGCAAAGCAGGCTCCAGATGGAGCTGCCTGGAGAGGCCTTGCCCCGCCTTCGGAGCGGCCGCAGGATGGCTGTGCATCGTGTGAAACGTGTGTGGGTTGGTGTGCAGACGTGGGGGACTCACGACCTCTCTGCTACAGCACGCAGCAACCCTTCCCCGCCGTCGGCGAGCGGTAACGTCCGGCACAGCTGCCCAGAGTCTGCGCCTGCGTTATCCCGCCTCCTTCGACCCCTCCTCCTAGGCTGGAACTCCGCCTACTACCCGGCTCCTCGCCACACTTTACGGCCGGACACGCCACTTTTGCAGCAGTTGTTCCCGTCGCCGCCGCCGCCGCCGCCGCCGTCACCACCACTGCCCCCTTGCCGCCGCGACTGCCGCAGGTGAGAAAGGGGTGTGAGGTTGTGCCGGGGCTGCCGCCTCCCCGGGATGGGTGGAGCGCGGGGCCGCCCCGGGCTGGCCACGACGGCCGTCAGCCGCCGGGTTGTCTCCTCAGGTCCCGTCCCGTCTGCGCTGCCGCAGGGAGGCCGCCAGGGCCCCGCGAACCGAGCCGATGCTGGACCTGGAAGTGGTGCCTGAACGCTCCCTGGGGAACGAGCAATGGGAATTCACGCTGGGTGAGTGTGGGGGCCTCCGCCAGGCCCCGGACACCGGTGCCGGCTTCTCCGCGCGCCCTTCCGGCCCTGGCCCCTGCCTCCGAGGCTCGGCTTCTGCGGCTGGCGTCCGGGCTTTCCTCTGTGTTGGCTCCTTGCATTAGATAACAGCTCTGATCTGCCGGTGGCACCCGTGGAAGCCCCTGCTCGCGCCGCCGTGGGGTCCCTCCGGGGCGGTGGGACTGCCCACTTGGAATGACAGTAGTAGTGGGCATACCCAAGCGGCACACTTACTGGCCCGCCCTACTCTTTTGTAAGAAGAAAGTATCTCTTGTAAACCTCCCTGTGGTCTGAAGGTCAGTACTGTTGTCCCCATTTTACAGTGTTACACTAAGAAGTGGTTTGACTTCCCTAAACTCGGGGATCTCAGCTCTTCTTTCTTCGCTTTTATTGAAGGGTGGGTACGATGATTCTCCTTTTGGGAGAATCAGGTGATGGAGATCTAGTCTAAGGAATTCAGTTCCTTTGTGTTAAAGGAACTTCTGAGCGGAAATGGTGGTGAATACCTGTAATCCCAGCATTCAATAGACAGGAGGGTCACTAGTTTGAGTTAGCGTGGGCTTAATTTAATGAGAGACCCTATCGCAACACAACACAAAGGAGAGCAGGTGCCTCAAGCTTGTAATCCTAGCTACTCAAGAGGTTGAGATCTGTGGCTTGCAACTGGAAAGTCCCAGAGACTTCTTCAATAACCACCAAAAAGCTGGAACTTGGGATGTCTCTCAAGAACTTAAGCCTTGAGTGAAAAAGTTAAGGGACAGGGCACAAGCCCTGAATTCAAGTCTCAGTGCCCCCACTGGAGAAAAAAAAGGAATTATCTGTTTTCTTTTAAAATTTAGTCTTATGTGGAGTTGTGTAATTATAAACCATACCTTATATGTGAGAGTAAAAGGTTGTTTAGTAGGAATTAGGGGAAAGTAACATTTTGTAGAAAATACAGTATGGTCTTTTGTTTTCTTTTATTCCTTAGTCTAGTTTTCTCCCACCACCCTCTGAACCCAGGATGTTCTCATACTTTGTAAACTGTGTGTTTACTTTGATATTCAGCACTGAGGAAAGGGAATGAGAACAGGTGTAGCAGCTGCTTGTGTGTATGATCCTGGACTTTTGTCACTCTAGTATAGGCAACTGAACTGAATCACCTACTTCATTGGATTGTGGCTTGTCCTTGAATTTGGAAGACTTGTGTCTATAGTGAGAATGTTAAAGAAACTCAGCAGTACAGATGAGTAGTGGTGGCCAGGCTGGTGCTCAGCAGCCAATGTATTGTAGGAGCTACTTTTATTGGGAGGTCTTAGTCAACTTTTCTAATACCTTAGACTATGCCTGCAGGGAACTGCTCAGAAACCTGATAAATGCTCCAACTACCTTGGGAAGCACAGAGAATTTGGTTGATACCAGGCTATTACTGTTTGGCTTCAGATTAACTTCTTTCCTCCCTTCCCTTGGACTGTGTCCCATTTTTCTTTTTTCTTTTTTTTTGGGGGGGTCCGGTCGTGGGGCCTGAACTCTGGGCCTGGGCGCTGTCCCTCAGCTCTTCAGCTCAAGGCTAGCGCTCTACCACTTGAGCCACAGTGCCACTTCTGGCTTTTTTTTTTTTTTTTTGCTTATATGGTGCTAAGGAATCGAACCCAGGGCCTCAGGCATGCAAGGCGAGCACTGTACCACTGAGTCACCTTCCTAACAGTGTCTGCTTGCACCTAGAACTCCCAGGGAAGGATTAGAAACACTTTCATAGCCTCAGACTGTGCTTTATGGTGTAACTAGATTACGATTTCTTTCTGGTCTGAATGAAGTGATTAGGCTAGCAGTTGATGAGGATTTCTAGAAAACTGAGTGGGAAAACAAGATTTCCTCTGGCAATTGCTTAAACATTCTAACCCAAAGTTCCTGACTCTCCCAGTTAGACAGTTGATAGTATGTTGGGTCTAACGTTGACATTTGGAGTTTAGAGTTCTATTCCTAGGCTAGAGAACCAAGCAGCACTTACCTCTTGTAATAAGAACATTGTAAGGTAAAGATTATTGCCACCTAAGAAATAGGCTCAGAGAGGAAATGTTAAGGAGCAAACAGGAATATCCTACTTCAAACTGTTACTTTGTTCTGAGGATAAGCCTAACTTTGTCCCCAGGTTTCTTATTGGAGTCTGTGCAAATGCAGATGTATCTCGACCTTGCAATCATCTGTCTGGAATCCCAATAGGGAATTACATCTAGCATCTTGACTGCCTTCTGGCCTTTGTATAATGCCAGTGGAGATTAGGGAAAATCCAAAAATACAGGGACAGAATAAGCAGAATCTTTATGAATGTCACTGGTGATTTATGGAATAAAGGCATTGCAAACTTGAAATAATGCCCTTGTGGCTTTTTTGGGGGGAGTGGGGTGGGGAAGAGTTTTTGTTTAAGGCAAGTGCTTGTAATATAGCCAGGCTGACCTTCAACTTGACATCCTCCAGGCTCCAGTACAATAGAGGTTTCATTGTGTAATTTCCATACATGTATACTGTTAGGAAACTGAGTCAGAAAGATATTAGAATAAAGAAAGATCAGAAAGTGAACTCAACAGATCAGAACAACCTTAATGAAAGTTAAAGAGGAATTCCTTGGTGGCCTGAGGAGAGTGGAAAACCCAGGGGTTCCGGGGGCAGAGGTGGAAGGACTTAAGTAGAGTTGTGAGTAAGGGGCAAGGAAGGTCGCAGGTAGCTCAAGGGCTCAGAGAGTTTCACAAGTTTAAGGTGCAGTTTTGGCTCCTGGAACCTGTAGTTTGAGCTTGTCCCCAGCCTAGTTTGGGTTTTTTTTTTCTTGTTTTTGTTTTTATTTTGAGGAACTGTGGCCTAAAGCCTGAGGGGTGGAGCAGGGAACTTGGCTTTCACATTTAGATTAATCCAGGCTGGAGAATGGGCTGGAGAATTTCAGAAGATTGGGAAGGGTAGCTAGCCTGTGGGCCAATCCTTGGGAGCAATTTTGACTTCTGAGAACAAAGCAGAATGCCCGTCATACACAACATTGCTCACTTTCTCTACCATTCACTCCTTTATCTGCCACCCCCCCCCCCAGTCCTTTTTTGAAATTAGTGTTTGGTGCGACTTAGTTGAGCAGTTGTGAGGCCTTGAGCTCAAACCACAGTAAACCAAAAGAAAAAAGGGCTGCCAAAAGAAGAGTCACTGGAGAAAATAGCTGTGTCTGAGATTGAGATTGTGTTATTCCACAGACTCAGTTTGTTAAAGACAGTGTTTACCTCTGTGGGCTTTGCTCATAAGCAATAGATTCTGAATTTTAAAAAGTTTTATTCTCAGGGCTGGGAAGGTGGCTCAGTAGTAGAGTGCTTGGCTTGCATGCTTGAGTTCCTGGGTTCGATTCCTCAACACCACATAAGCAGAAAAATCCAGAAGTGGCGCTATGGCTTAAGTGGTGTAGCACTTGCTGTGAGTTGAAGAGCTGAGGGTCAGCGCCCAGGCCCAGAGTTCAGGCCCCTCGACCGATTGATTACAAACAAAAAAAAAAGGTTTTATTATTAGCTAAGGCTACTTATAAGGAAGATTCAAAGAAATAGTTTATTAAAACTAAAGTAAGATAGTACTATGGAAAGGGAATAATGAATTTGAGTTGATCTGGGGGGTTAGGGAAAGGTAGGTTATATATACTGGGAATGTATATCCTACTTGGAGTTCTAGTGTGATATATTGGCCAAAAAACAAAAAAACAGCCTGGTGCTGGTGGCTCATGGCTATATAACGAGTTATTCAGAAGGCTGAGACCTGAGGACCTCAGTTAAAAGCCCACCCTTTTTAACTTTTTTTTTTTTTAACCAAACAGTGGTTCCCTAAGTCAGAATGGGATTAGATTATTTGAATGTAGATGGGCCACAGGCTTTTTTTCTGCACATCTCATTCCTTACGCTGAAAGTTTGTTTGGCTTCTACCCGAACTTTCTTGCAGTCCTAGAGTGAAGGCTTTCTTCCCCTTTTCTAGTCACCCACCCCATAATCCTTTGTTCTACTTGTAGGAAAAGTTTTCTGTCAGAATGAGTTGCTTTAAAGGTCCCTGCTTTGGCCTAGTGGCTTGGTTCTTGTTGATTATTCTGCTAGGACAATATCAGCTTGAAAGGAAAAGAGGAAATGCTTTGGGGCAAGGAAGGAATTTTGAACTGTAAGTTTTATCTTAAATGGTTCCTAAATGGAATTAAGACACACCCAAGGTTCTAGAAAATAGCTGTGGGTTAGAGTGTGTTTTGAGTTTACCTTTGTGTAGTCTTAATAATATCTCAAAGTCTTTCAATGGTTACTTTATATAAATACGTGTTACCCTTTAGCCAATTTTGAGCAAGTTGTGAGCCTGAGCCCAGCTGATTTGAGCAGAGGGATTGGGCCTACCCCTTTAGGGATTAAAAAAAAGAAGTAGTCTGCCTGCTCTGTGTGCTTGTTTGCTAGATTTTTGGCTGATGGTGTACCCTTCTATAGAAGTAAACTTTGCCTTGTGAAGTTCCTTTTGAGATTGTTTCCTTATTTCTGTGCAACACTCCAATATCCTAAGCCATTTCCAACACATTGAATAAGTATCTGTTGCCACTAGGTAGATGGTCAGCTGGGAGCTGGAGATTCAGAGAGTAGTGAATAACACACCGACTTGCACTCAAGGAACTGAGTCTGTTTTTAGGATGTCTAGGACCTGTTGATGTCTTCTTGTTTAATATACAGTGGGCTCTGAAAACAAACTTGGGTGAGACCCTGGAATGTTTGAAGTGTCATTGGGATTCAGATTACTTAAAATGGAGGCATAGCCAGGTGGCTGGTGGCACACACCTGTAATCTTAGCTACTCGGGAGGCTGAGATGTAAGGGTTAAGATGCCAGCTCAGACAAGAAAGTTCTTGAGATTCTTATCTCCACTTAACCACCAAAAACCTCAAAGTGAAGCTGTGACTCAAGTGATAGATAACTAGCCTCCTGCACAAAAACTCAGGTACAGAGTCCACACACACACACACACACACACACACACACACACACACACACACACACACACACACACACACACACACGGTATATGTAAATATGTTTAAAACGTTCTAAAATCTAAGGGTTTAAGTAATATTTATGAGTTTTTAAATAAGAATCTAGTAAACTCATTTGTAAAATGAGTTGATTCTGATAGATATGTGACTTCTAACTTACAAATGTACTAACAATAATCAATTGAGAGCTGCTGTAGTAGAAGCCAGAATGAAAGAGAAAGAACCTGCAGTAGGTCATAGGAAGAGTGAGGAATAGAACCTTGGTCTCCAAAGTCAGAAAGTCAGTGATTTTTCTGATCCTATTCTTCAGTTCATGTTGACTTTGCCTGCTTTGGGATTATTGCAGATGACCCCATTTCCAGGAAGTGTTTTTCTATGTTCCCTTCCTTGGGATAATCTGAGTAATTCCTTAGTGCTTGTTGCTGTTTAGCTGTATTCTAATTTTGTTCATTGAACTTGTGTTTGTGTGTGTGTGTGTGTGTGTGTGTGTGTGTGTGTGTGTGTGTGTGTGTGTGCATGTGTGCATGTGTGCGTGCATATGTGTGCGTGTGCACTCTGCTCCTGGGGCTTGAACTCAGAGGCCTGGGCACTGTCCCTGAGATTCTTTTGCTTAAGGTTAGTACTCTATCACTTGAGCAACAGCTCTACTTCTGGCTTTTTTTTCCCTGTAGTTTAGTAGAAATAAGATTTTCAGTGACTTTCCTGCCTAGGCCAAGTTCCAACCATGATCCTTAGATCTCAGCCTCTTGAGTAGCTACGATTACAGGCCTGAGCACTGGCACCTGACTGTTGATTGAATTTTTGTTTACTCATGTATCTGTAGACATTGGTAGATATAAGTAAACGGATAGCCCAAGTAACCACACAGGTGTCTTTGCTTTATTTCAGGAATGCCTCTGGCTCAGGCAGTAGCCATTCTTCAGAAGCACTGCCGCATCATCAAAAATGTCCAAGTTCTCTACAGTGAGCAGGTGAGTGGTGACTGCTTTGTTTATTGAATCGCATCAGTGAGTCACCTCCAGAGGATGACTGGCAGGGATTGCTGTGTTCCAGTGGGAGAATCCTCAGCACTGGTCAGTTGTCAACTTCATCTCTTTGATTCTGGAACTTTGTTTTAATAATCTAATGCTGCTAGCTTTAGAAGAGCAGTAAAAACTCAATATTTTTTATGTCTGTGCTTAACTGCTTGCTGTTCCTTAAAGATGAGGACTTTTCATTCAGTCAGAGGGCACCTTGGATTGTCTCTGGTTTGCTAGGTGCTTACCTTCCACTTCCACGTTTAAAACCATCTTTTCTTACTTTGTAAAACAATGAAGATGGAGCTACATCCATTGAGATTATTTAAGAGAAAGGAATGTTTATTCAAACAACAGAAAAAATATCTTCATGTCTATTTTGTTTCTAGAATTACAATGATAACTAGATATTATGAAAATTGGATTGAAATATATGAAGGTATTTTTAATCTTATGGTTACATTTAAAAATTATTTTAGGCTGGGCGCTGGTGACTCACACCTGTAATCCTAGCTACTCAGGAGGCTGAGATCTGAGGATCATGGTTCAAAGCCAGCCCAGGCAGGAAAGACCGTGAGACCCTTGTCTCCAATAAACCACCAGAAAACCAGAAGTGGCACTGTAGCTCAACCGGTAGAGCACTTGCCTTGAGTGAAGAGCTGAGGGACAGCGCCCAAGCCCAGAGTTCAAGCCCCACGACCGACCAAAAAAAAAAAATCATTCCAAAGGAAACTATTATTTAACAGACATTACAAAAAGAGTTTAATTAGAAAGGATTATTTTAGTTTGGGTAAAGTGGCTGTTGCATGTAATCCAACAGATTGCAAAAGGAGAAATCATATCTATATCTCATATATAGATATATTTCTATATATATTTCTATATATCATCTCTCTGGATACACACACACACACACACACACACACACACACACACGTAGAAGGATCAGAGTCAAGTATGGCCTGACTGAAAAGGTAGACACTAAATTAAAAAATAACATAATTAAGAAAGAATGTCTAATGACGTGGATCAATTGACAGAATATTTGATTAGGAAATACAAAGCCCTAATTTCAATCCATAGCTACAATCAAAACAAATAATAAACACTTTATTCTGGGGAAAAACAAAACAAAACATCTTTTTTGGTGGTTGGCTTGTTTTCAAAAGTACCACCAGTACATACCTTGATTGAAAGGAAGCAGATATAGCTCACCCCTTTACTCTCAAAAAGCAATCTCTCCATTGAGCACTGAAGCCTTCACTGCTTCTGTGATACAGATCACTTGCTACCATATAGAACAGCCCTTCTTCTGGTCTGTGTATTGCACAACTCAGAGAATAGTTTTGAGCCTACATTGTTTCAAAGGATGTTCCTGGGGGCCCTTCTGAGAATCAGTTCAGTTCCATTTTTTTTCAAATCCTAAAGTAAATGATGTGTGTGTGTGTGTGTGTGCGTGTGTGCGTGTGTGTATGCATGCATGCATGTATGATGCATATGTGCTCAGGGGCATGCTTGAACTTGGGGCCTGGGCACTGCCCCTGAACTTTTGTGCTCAAGGCTAGCACTGCCAACTTGAGTTTCTGGCTTTTGAAAGTTTATTGGCGCTAAGAATCTTTACATGTAATCAGACCACTATGAATTTTTAGTCCTAGAAATTGGACTGAAACATTCAAGGAATAGAACATGTTTTCTGTGGATATGGACATGGTTCCAGCTGACAACATAAGCAGTACCTGTTGAGTTTGGATCCTGGTTCTGTCACATGACATATATATTTTTTTTTTTTTTTTGGGTCCGGTCGTGGGGCCTAAACTCTGGGCCTGGGCGCTGTCCCTCAGCTCTTCAGCTCAAGGCTAGTGCTCTACCACTTAAGCCACAGCGCCACTTCTGGCTTTTTGCTTTTTGCTTATGTGGTGCTGAAGAATGGAACCCAGGCCCTCATGCATGCAAGGCAAGTGCTCTACCACTGAGCCACCTTCTCAGTCCTACATATGTTCTTAATAGAATTTTATATAGCTTTGTTTCATTTTATTTTTGTGCTGATCCTAGAGCTTGAACTCAGGGTTTGGGCACTGTCCCTGAGCTTTTGTGCTTAAGGCTAGCGTTCTACCAGATGAGCCACAGCTTTTTGGAAGTTAACGAGATAAGAGTCACAATGGAAGTGGTGCTGTGGTTCAAGTGGTAGAGCACTAGCCTTTATAATCACAGATGTGGAACCTCAAGGAACCTCAAAAGAAAGTGACCTATATGCTCATATAACTTTGTCCCTTTCACCCAGGTATTTTGGATGGGAGAGATTCTTTATCCAGTGTTATGAAGCACAAGCTACAGACTAGAAGGAAGAGACACTGCATTCATGCAAAAGTTTTGTGGGGGGCTTCCAAACCTCATTAGTTGGGGGAGAGAGGGACTGCCTGCTCTTCAGTCTTCCTTGTGCATTGCATTTTTATTATAAGGTTTTCAGTTCATGCTGGTAAATAAATCAGTTGTTAAGAATGTGTTTTATTTTTGTTTTGTAGTCTCCTCTAAGCCATGACCTCATCCTTAACCTGACTCAGGACGGGATCAAACTACTGTTTGATGCTTTCAATCAGAGACTTAAGGTAACTATATAAATTATAACCATGGTCTCACATCTGGCTGATCCAGTCTTTCTGGAGCTGATTAATATGTATTGTTGTAAGATGTTTTTACCTCATTCTTTTTTATATATAGCACTTGACACATTTATTATTCTTTTTATTATATTTGTAAACAGTACTCCTTCTGCACATGACATTTTGTGAAAGGAAATGTACTTACTACCTGACATATGTAAAGGTAACCCCGCTGTGTATTACTTCAATAATAATGTAAATTAGAAAATACAAAATACACAGGTGGGGGAGAGATGATGAGACAGCAGCTACTGATAAAAATAGGATTTGATTTTGATTTGATTTACTTCATTGTTATGTCAAACAGAGTGACTTGGAAGATAGAAAATAGAAACTGTTCTAGAGCAAGAGGGCTTGGGGTTAATACTACCAGATGTGAATTGATACTTTAACCTCATTGTGAAAATGTAAGCAAACAACTTGCTGGTATTTAGGATGCCTTAATTAGCATCAAGTGCCATTTGCTAGCATCTATTTTAATCTAGGATGTTTTTAATGCACTCTGCTGTCAAGTTCCTGGGCCTCACAGGTTAGTCATGTGATACCAGACTCATGCCTCGGAGTCATAAGGTTGAATGTGGGCTCCAGCAGTGGCATACCAGACCCATTTTCCTGGTCAGATTGTGAAAAAAGACTTAGACACTTCCCAGTTCTTGTCATTCCATCACAAGTGATTTGTTAAGGAGAGAAAGCAGTAGTACATGGAAAGGATCCTTTTGGAGAAAATGATCTATATGAGGGATCATTGGCCAGCCTTGAAGAGAATGTCTTAAGCCTTCATCAAACAAGGCTTCTGGCTAAAAGTGCTTTGCTGGCTTGAGGCCCTGACCTCAGTGAAATGGCATATCAATCTGGCATGGTATATTGCCATATCCAAGCATTCTGAAGACCTGGCTGTTGTCTGAATCACAACTATTCCCCTGTACTCCTTGAACGGCCCCTCCCAGCATTGTTTTTCATACTTTGAAGCTTCATATTGCCCTTAAATAGCTTCATACTCAACAGATTTGGCTGACATTCAATGAGCATCTAACATGTGTATGCCAATGAGTCAGGCCATGGGACTTAACTTTGCCAGCAAACAGCTTACACACCTTTGGAAAAAAGTGTTCTTTGAAGCACTCTGCTCCCAGCAGAGGGAGCAGTTCTCAATAGGTAAGACGAAATAGCTTCAGAATAGACAAGAGGTTTCCAACTTGGTTCATTGTTAATGATTGTTAAATAAAGTTAGGGACAGTCTCTGGCCAAAAGTGAACTACTTTGGAGTACAAATGTCCCAGTTTCTGTGGCAGTGCCAGATGCTCCTACATTAGTATTCTATAGTCCTGTCCTCAGTTGGGCCCAGAGTGGTATGACAGATATACAACCTCCACATTGAAGGCAGACCTTCCAGCTAGAGCATGCAGATGGTTCTCTATTTCTGTTTCTGGTCCGGATTTCTATTGTCCAGCCTTGACAACCAAGCATGGAGCACCTCATAGTGCTTACTACGTAGCACCATTAATGGTGAAGTGTTCAGTACTTTTTCCATTTTCTCTCTACTCTGAGTTCTTGACATTCCATTAAATCCATTAAGCAAATTTCTCAGGGGTCCTGAAGTTCTTCAAGTTTAACCAGAGCCCTTTCGTTAGAGGATCTGTTTGTATTTGTTAACCAAATACTTTCGGACTTGTCATAAGTTAATGTATTACCGCTTGTTTCCTAGCAGGATAAACTTCTCTTTCATCTACTGTTTGTAAATAAAATAAACATCAAAATAAGCTAGTTCTGGAAGTAATTTGCTCTGACTTCTTTTTATAATAATATCAAATGGAAGAAGAGGACTCAGTATCAACATAGCCTCAACAGCTGCATGTATTCATTTCTCTGGAAAGGTGGTGGTATTCCTGTGATAGGTATCCCAGAATGACCTAAGTGGATTACACAGTCAGGTGCTGGTGGCTCATGCCTGTAATCCTAGCTTTTCAAAGCTGAGATCTGGGGATTGCTGTTCAAAGCCAGCCTGGGCAGGAAAGTCTGTGAGACTTTTTTCTTTTATGTTGGTCATGGGGATTGAACTCAGGGCCTAGGCACTGACCTTGAACTCCTTTTGCTCAAGGCAGCGCTTTACCGCTTTAAGCCATAGCACCACTTCCAGTTTTCTGGTAGTTAATTGGAAATAAGAGTCTCAAGGTCTCCATGAACAGATGATTCACACCTGTAATCCTAGCTACTTAGGAGGCTGAGATCTGAGGATAGTGGTTCAAAGCCAGCCCAGGCAGGAAAGTCTTTATCTCCAATTAATCACCAGAAAATTAGAAATGGCACTATAGCTCAAAGTGGTAGGGTGCTGGCCTTGAGCAGAAGAGTACAGGCACAGAAACTAAGCCCCAAGTACAAGCCCCACTACTGACCCCCCCCCCCCCCAAAAAAAAACCCAGTGGATTAGATACAGGGGTCTTGAATCTTCACCAGGGCATCCATGCACATCATTTGAGAATCCCTTGAAAGAAGGAAGGTTACTTACAGTTTTTCCCTCCATTTTTATTTTGAAATCCCTTTATTTTGTAGTGGGGGTTTTACTATCTTACCCAGGCTAGTCTTGAAACTATGAGCTCACGTGATTCTCATACATCATCAACCTTCCAAGTAGCTAGGAGTATAAGTATGCTTTCCCCTCCCCCGCCCCCACCTTGCCCCTTTTCAAAATGAGAGCAGAGGAAAATCTACAGTGCTTCTGGAGGGTTTTTTTTTTTAACTTAATGTACATTAGTTGCACAAAAGTGGTTATTAACTTGTGACATTTCCCTACATAAATACAACATGTCTTGATCTACTTTACCCCTTTTCTTACTCTCCCCTATCCTGCTCTCAGCAGATTTCATGGTTCTATTTTCTGATGATACGCAAATAAACTATATCCACCATATCATCCTTTTTCAGATTTTGTAGCTCTTTCTGCTCCTGATGCCTACTCTTCCATCCAAGCTTGTTTTACTTTCTTGTCTTTTTGGGGGGGGTAGGGGGTGAGGGGGTACAGGTCAGTCATGGGGCTTGAACTCTGGGCCTCGGCGCTGTCCCTGAGCTCTTCAGCTCAAGGAGAGTGCTCTACCACTTGAGCCACAGTGCCACCTCCTGTTTTCTGGTGGTTAATTGAAGATAAGAGTCTCACAGACTTTATTGCCTGGGTTGGCTTAAACTGAGATCCTCAAATTTCAACCTCCTAAGTAGCTAGGATTACAGGCATGAGCCACCAGCACCTAGCCCTGTTTTTTGTTTTTTGATTTTTTTTTAAATGCATATTAAATTGCACCAAGTGGTTTCACGCTTGCATAACACATGACTGTGACTGTGTAGTTCAGACTGGCCTTGAACTCATGATCTTTCTGCTTCTGCCTCCCAAGTACTGGGATTACAGCCATAACCTACCATTCCTGGCTTGATTTTTTTTTTTTTTTTTTTTTAGTTTTTCTTTTGTTTGTGTTTGTGGGGTGCTGATAATAGAAGCACAAATGCGGACTAAGCACATACTCTGCAGCTGAGCTGTGCCCTCAGCCCTGTAAATGTGTTTTTATTTTTAGTCTTGTCATTGTATCAAACTGAGAAAATAACTTTTAAACATTTCTTTTAGGTGATTGAAGTATATGATCTAACTAAAGTAAAGTTAAAATATTGGTAAGTTCCCCCTTCCCCAATTATTGTACAGATAGGCTTAATCTACTACCTTCATTAAATTGTTAAAGAATTATAATATCAGCAACCCAGGGATTACAGCCTAGTACCATGATTTCCTGAGAACCTCCTAGTTTGCTGTTTCCTGGGGAAGTAAAGCTCACTAAGAATATTCTGTGTAAACTTGGCATGATGATGTACACCTGGACCTATAATCCCAGCACTTGGGAGGCTGAAACACATAGGATCACAAGTTTAAAGCCAGCCTGGCATGGTTCCTGTGTGTGTTATTAATATGACAGTTTCCTGAGTCATAACTGCTCACTTCTTTTCAAGTTTTTATGAACAGCAGAACAGCCAGATAGTTCTGACTTGAAAGCCAGTGCTAAAGAGAATGCCCAGAAGACTACCTATTAGCACTAAAATCTTTTTAGAATGAAAATGGACTTGTATAATCCATGAGTACTTGAGCCCACAGCAAGGTGTTATGCTAGCATATAGAATATTTCTCTGACAACATTTATTGCTTGACAATAAATGGTGGGTGATAGCCCTAGTTCTAGTTATCTTTTTGTGTGTGTGTGTTGGCCCTGGACCTTGAACTCAGGGCCTGGGCACTATCCCTGGGCTTCATTTTACTCAGGGCTAGTGTTCTACCACTTGAGCCATAGCTCTATTTCTGGCTCTTTTGATAGTCTTACCTGGGTTAACTGTGATCCTCAGATCTCAGCTTCCTGAATAGCTAAGATTATAGGCATGAATCACCAGTTCCCAGTTGTAGTTACCTTTTAGTTGGCTAGATTTTACCTCAGGATCTGGCTTTTCTTCCTCTCTTACTAAAAGTCAGTAATGTTTAAGAAACCCTAGAGAATTGGCTCTCCATGTCAGCTTCACAAGAATTTACCTTCATACTTCATTAATTTTCTCACACCTCAAAGTTCTTTAACGCTGGGTGTGGTGACACAGCCATGTGATGCCATCACTCAGAAGGCTAAGGCAAGAGAATTCCAAGTTTATAAATTAAAAATATCTTTGTCTTTCAGTGGAGTGCATTTTAACTCTCAGGCCATAGCTCCCACCATTGAGCAAATTGACCAGTCTTTTGGAGCAACCCATCCTGGAGGTGAGTCAAATTCATCTTACTCCTCTGGTCATCAGTGACAACCCATGGTGATAAACCTGGCAGGCGGAGCCATCCTGCCAAGCCTGAGAACTGTGGGGTTGGTACGTGGGTGTGAAGGAAAGCTCCTCCCCTTTGTTTTCATCCTAGTAAGCCAGTTCAAAAACAAGGCAGGAGGGAGGTACTGCCAGTTATAACTCCCTGCCAAGCTAGTTCATGCTAGTGATTTCACATGCCAGTCAACCATGTCATTTTCTTCTCCCACAGTGTACAACTCTGCTGAGCAGCTCTTCCATCTCAACTTCAGAGGACTGTCTTTCTCATTTCAGCTAGACTCATGGACTGAAGCTCCCAAGTATGAGGTTAGCCCTCTGTCACCTAGTGATAGTTACACAGCGCCCATATGGTATGAGACAGTAGCTAGTGCGTTGGTGGGATAGGTACTGGACAGGCATCCCTGTCTTTAAAATCTTTAAGGACTAAGTGGTAGGGTTAACAGAATGGCGTCCAGGCCAATATTCCTAGGACAATGGCACTTCACACTGCTCTGGCACTGAGACTGACTTTTCAGATACAAATCTGGCCATGTCTCACTGTAAAGCACCTAAACATTTTTGTTTTCTCAGTGAGCAAGAGTTTGGAGAGACTTATTTTCTCTATATTCAGTTACTTGGCTTTTTTTGTTTGGCTGATGGTAATGTTTTTTTGGGGGGAGGGGTTGTTTGTTTTTTATTTTGTTTTTAATGGTACTAAGGATTGAACTCAGAGCCTTGTACCTACTAATCAGATACTCTACCCCTTGAGCCACTCTTTTAGCCCCTTTTTACATTGGTTATTTTTGAGGTAGGGTCTCGATTTTATGCCCAGGCTGCCCTGGGCTGCAATCTTCCTACTTTGGTTTTCCTGTGTTGCTGGCTATGACAGGCATATGCCACTGTGCCCAGCCATTGTGATTCACCCTGAAGCTAGGATAACAAGTATATACTAACTACCATGCCCAGCTGTTAGTTGAGATGGAGTCGCGAAATTTCTTTTTTGCCTGGACTGGCTTTGAACTGTGATTCCTCCCAATCTCTGCCTCCCAAGTTCCTGTTGTTTTAAAGATGAACTTGGAATCCAAGTGTGGCAGTACACACCAATAATCCCAGCTCTCAGGAGGCTGAGTCAGGAGAATCAAGAATTTGAGGACAGCCTGGGCTACATAGCAAGACCCTGTCTCAAAAACAAAACCAAAACAGATGAACTTGCTTCTCCAGGGTGAGTTGATTGATCCAAAACCAGATTTGGCCATGTGCTTTAAAGACCATGAGTGCCAGGGAGGACCTGTGCCAGAGTCACATGACCTGCAGTGCTCTTAGTAAAACTTTTGTCCTGTATTTTCAGCCCAACTTTGCCCATGGTCTAGCTTCTCTCCAGATACCCCATGGAGCAACTGTAAAAAGAATGTACATCTACAGTGGAAATAGCCTACAGGATACCAAGTAAGTAGTCTTAATGGGTATCATCCTGCTGAGGGCACGAGCTCCCTGAGGAAGAGGACCAAGCATCTCATTCTGTGCCTGTTCCCAGGGCTCCTGTGATGCCCCTGAGCTGTTTCCTGGGCAATGTGTATGCTGAGAGTGTAGATGTTCTTCGAGATGGAACAGGACCATCAGGTTTACGACTCCGCCTACTTGCTGCAGGTCTGTTATATTCAGGGAGAAACATTCTAAAATCCTGTGTGCTTAGTGATGATCTTAATCCATTCAGGCTGTACTAATAGAACTACATAAACTGGGTGCCTTATAAGTGACAGAAATATATTTCTCACAACTCTGAAGGCTAGCAACTCGAAAGATCAAGGCACTAGCAGCTTCAGTTTCCAGTGCAGGCCCACTTCATGGGTCTTAGACATGTTTCATTGTGGGGCTGCTCACTAGCTCTTTGGCATCACTTTTTTTCTATAAGCATGCAGTAATTGTATAAAGGCATCTTAATTGTGCTATTTTTTTATTTTTTTGGTCGGTCGTGGGGCTTGAACTCTGGGCCTGGGCGCTGTCCCTCAGCTCTTCAGCTCAAGGCGAGCACTCTACCACTTGAGCTACAGCGCCACTTCCGATTTTCTGGTGGTTTATTGGAGATAGGAGTCTCACAGTCTTACCTGCCCGGGCTGGCTTTGAACCGTGATCCTCAGATCTTAGCCTCCTGAGTAGCTAGGATTACAGGCGTGAGCCACCAGCGCCCGGCTAATTGTGCTGTTTCTATACATGCATGCAATGTATCCTGATCAAACTGACCCCTCTATCATTCTCTCCTTTACCCTTCTTAAAAATTTCAACAGGTTTCATTGTTCTGTTTTCATAAACTACTTTGTCATATTCATCTTCATTTACCCTGTCTGATACTTAGAAGTAAGTTAATAAATGAATTCTCCAGAGTTCCTTATGACTTGGGAAGATTAAATGCTCCCCAGTACATAATGGTCTTTTATTATAGAGTCTCAAACTTGTTGACCTGGTATTTCCATTTATATGTAATCTTGCATACAAACTGAAGGAAGTTTGGTGTGATAATGTAGTCAGTGGCTTCTTTGAAGGACCTTGAGCTTTAATGTCTCCATTCCTGACCTGAACCTGATAAACCCTTCCTTGTTCTCTGCAGGTTGTGGACCTAGCCTTTTAGCAGATGCGAAGATGCGGGTATTTGAACGCTCAGTGTATTTTGGTGATTCCTGTCAAGATGTTCTAAGCATGCTTGGCTCTCCACACAAGGTCTTCTATAAATCAGAAGACAAGGTAGAGAAAATACTTTTGTAGAATGAATAGGCAGTCTCTTTTTTCAAATGAATAGTAACTTCATTGTTATTTTTTTTCCCCAAACAGATGAAAATTCATTCTCCCTCCCCTCATAAACAAGTCCCATCCAAGTGCAATGACTACTTTTTTAACTACTTCACTCTTGGAGTGGTAAGTTGTGGTACCTCAGGGAAAGTATTTCCTTTCTGTTGGCAAGAGCAGTGCACTTTTGCATAGCTGTGTGTATACGTGTAGCTATAACCACACCTGGACATAGGGGACTTCATCCTTTTTTTTTTTTCTTTTTTTTGTCCATTGTGGGGCCTGAACTCTGGGCCTGGGCCCTGTCCCTCAGCTCTTCAGCTCAAGGCTAGCACTCTACCACTTGAGCCACAGCACCACTTCCGGCTTTTTTTCTTTTTGCTTATGTGGTGCTGAGGAATCGAACCCAGAGCCTCGTGTATACAAAGCAAGCACTCTACCACTGAGCCACCTTCCCAGCCCCATAAGGAGACTTCATTAGCCCTTGTAGCTTAATGTTTTATAGGCCATTTTCCCAGAAATATTGAGAAACACCAGGTTTCCCGGTTTGTCTTCTTTTCTGAGAGAAACATGCCAGATAGATGGAGGCTGAGCTCTCTTTATACAGTGCATTAGGTTGCTCTTCTGGAGTCAAAACAGGGAGGGAAAGAACTTAGACTATGTGAGTATGCTTTTGTAATTTTAGATTGCCACCCCCGAGGTAACACCTTAAAGACAAAGCACTGGATGGAGCTGGTAGAAGATTGCATGTATGAGAAATAGTTGGGTGAACTGTGTCGGGAGGAAACATTTCAGCTGGCCTGGCCTGGACTTTGGGTCTTCTGAATTACCTTTAAGGCTTTCGTGGTCTGAGGTACTGAAGTAGCAGAGATTGAAATTCAAAGAGGGAGACAGGAGAGACTGGATCTGCCTGTGTGGGAAAGACCATTACTGAGCCAGGGGTCATGGGGGAACCACTGTGGATCATAAACTGTTGCAGGTAGGATGGTGGTAAGAGGGAGCGCTGCTACTGCTGCTGCTGCTAAAACCCTGGTTCCAGTAACAGTGGCAATAGAGGCAGCAAGGAAGATGGCAAGAAGGGACAGCTTTAGTAGTTGGTTACTGCTAGAGGGTAGAGGCACAGGCAGCCCTGGGTTCCCAGACCTGAACACCTGACAGAACCTTGGAAAGGTGAATGAGAGCAGGTGGCATCAAATCTAGGTTTGGGTCCTGGCTCACTTTATAGTCAGGTGGATTTTCAGATCTAGGGGATTGCTGAATTCTGAAGGGTGTAATGGGAGCCAGGAGGGTCTGTCTGATTGGTTGTGGCATTCAGAATACTCAGGTGACTCGAGCTGTTCAAGAGTCAAGGTCCCCTGGTTCTTGGTAGCGTTTGAGTTAAAATCTGCACTCCATTAGATTTTTTAAATTTTAGGTGCTGTTATAGGAAAGATCTCCTTTACACATTTTAGTTCCCAAGCAACCATAAGTTGAGCCTTCTTGCCAGCTCTCCCCTGTCCGCAGAAAATGCTATCGCCCTTGACTGTTTAAGAGAAGATTGATAGCCGCATACATCACCATTGGTGGAGCCGCTAGGTTGGGCATGCCCTTCAAAAGGCCCCTGCCCTGCCTCAGCCTTATTCACTTTTCCTGGTGTCACCCTGCTTTCTATCTAGGACATCCTCTTCGACGCGAATACACACAAAGTAAAGAAGTTTGTCCTGCATACCAATTACCCCGGGCATTATAATTTTAACATGTGAGTATAACCATTTCTACACTCGGAGAAGTGAGCATTGGGCTAAAAGCCCCCAGGAAAAAGAAGTTGGGGCTTTGGGTGCTCTCTAGTTCGTCTCTGCCTAAGAGGGCTTTGTTTTGTGTGGTTATTTTTGTTTAGCAGTGTTGGAGATGGTCAAGTGCTCTGAGCCACTGAGGTGACCTCACAGCTTCTCCTTGAATTCTCAATTGTCTCATGGGTACTGAATGTGTGAATGCCTTCTATGCTCTTGCTACTATGGCCAATGTGTTCTATCTCTCTGTTTGTAAAAGGAGTAGAGAGAGAGATCAAAATCTTGAAGGGGATAAATTCTGTAGTCCTCAGAGTCTTACCCTTTTGGGTCACTTCATTGCCTAAATTGGGGCTTCCTTGGTGAGTTCTGAGGCCAGAGCCTCAAGTCTGGGCTTTGGGCGGATATGTTAGGTTCTGTTTTTTTCTGGGGTACAGAGTGGGAATGTAGATCAGGCTTCCCAGGAACCCAGTCTTTTTTTGGACTTTTCTTTCTTGCTACTGGGGATCGAACCCAGGACGTTGCACTTGGTAGGTAAGCACTTTGCCACTGAGCTACATCCCAGCCCAAACCCAGTCTTTACTCTCTCTCTCATCTGCCTTCTCTCTAGCTATCACCGCTGTGAGTTCAAGATCCCACTAGCCATAAAGAAAGGTGAGTAGGCTATTCTGTTAGGTTAAGGAAGAAAATTTAGACTCACTTGTCCTCTTGAGAAGGGGGAGGAAGCCAGGCAGAGAGGGTGGTGGTTAGTTGGTATAGCCTTTGCCCATCACCTCAGCTCTCTGGGATGGGGCCCCTTGTTTTAAGGGCTTCTTCGTTGGTGGTCTAGTGTCCTGGAGACCCTCATGGCCTTAACCTTTGGCTAGGATTGTTGACTACTGGAAGGGAAAGTTTCCTATCTATAGATGATCACCCTGTGCCCTCAAGCCGTGCTTGGTACCCACTGCTGGTTGGTGTAGCTCAGGCTTAAATTGGTCTCCCTTTGCTCTGAACAGCCTGTTTGTGTGTCTGCTCCACCCTAACATAGAAGCTGGCTGGGTGTTGATTCTGCCCGAGGCTAGGGCCACAGGTGGGCTAAGCCAACTACCAGCATGGTCCCTGTGTTCTTTTTCAGAAAATGAAGATGGTCAAACAGAAACATGCACCACCTACAGTAAGGTGAGAATTCCTGTTTTCCACCTGAAAATGAAATGGGGCATGAGCCTGACAGCAGTCTGGGGCTGGCCACTGGTCACAGTATTACCCTACTAACCCTGCTGCCCCTTCTTTATCTCTTTTACAGTGGGACAATATTCAGGAGCTCCTGGGCCACCCTGTGGAGAAGCCTGTTGTTCTACACAGGTGAGTGGGAGGTTGCCATCTCTGACCACCCCATCCTGCTTCTGAAAACCCAGAAGCCTGCCAGTGGGTATTGCTACCTCACCCACCATGTTAAGGCTCAGACAGCCTAGAACAAGTGCCTCTTGTTATAGCTCCCTTCTACCTGCCCTGGGGCTAGGTGTGGGAGCCCTCTTATCCCTAGTTAGTCAGAACAGGAAGCTGATCTTGACTGTTGAGTCAGGGATTCTTAAGGATTCTAAGTTGACTGAGGCCATGCCAACTCTTAAGGTCTTGAGGACCTTAAGAACCAGGCATGCACTCTGCCATGAGAGACCACTAATCAGTGGCCCACATCCCAAAAGGGACTGGATGTTCTTCTGGCCTTGCCTCTGTTTGCTCCTCTAATTCTGATTTCTCTGGCCTCAGGTCCTCTTCTCCAAACAACACCAACCCATTTGGCTCCACATTCTGCTTTGGTCTTCAGCGGATGATCTTTGAGGTAAGTTTAGTGAGTTAGAGATTGGTAGTCATGGCAGGAACAGGCAAATGATGAAGGGAAATTGAGGAGGGCCTGTCATTCTAGGTAGTAATCCTTCCTCAGAAGTGATATTGGGAAGATGCAGGGTTATAGAGGCTAAAGCCTATATCCAGAAAGATGAAAAGTAACAGAGATCCCATGTATTTCTATCTTAAAACAGGCATAGCAGGAAAGGGGGACCCTGGGTAATGGGGCTAAAGGTAGCATATTGGGGAGGCCCTTGAGTGTTGTGAGTGGACTGTGGGGGAGTGGCTTTGATGGGCCTAATGACTTGGGGGATGGATGAGTAGCGCCCATTTTCTGTCTAGATGCCACACCTTCAGCAGTCTCTTAGCAGTTGCAGAAGGGCTGGATAAATGAGTGTGGTAACTGCATTTCCGATGAGGAACAGACAGGTCCTCTGGTAGAAGTGGTACCTGCAGCATGAACTGGGGAAGGTTGAGGGGTCAGAAAGCTCAGGCCTTGGATTCAGGTGAATTGTATGTGTGATCTCAATACTAGGCCCTCAAGCCCTGCGCACAGATCTTGCATCCCTTCTATCCCTCCCCTTAACCTATTGTTGTCTTCTCACACCAGGTCATGCAGAACAACCACATCGCCTCAGTGACTCTGTATGGCCCCCCTAGGCCCGGTGCCCACCTGAGAACAGCAGAGCTCCCCTAGAGATATTTCCCATGCCCCTTTGCCTGTGGAACTGTGCATTGCATCTAGCTCAGTGGGTCTCTGTGCCACCCTGTGGCTTTTCTGGACAAGTTGCCAGTGTTGAAGGGTTATAGGATGTTCCCGAGGTGGGTCTCTGGCTGAATGCTCTTCCGTGGGACAGTCGGCCCAGACATTCTTCTGTCCATTCTAAGCCTGCTGCTGCTGGCAGGAAACACGGACTGCAAAGACAAGCACAAACTTTGATCCTTGGTATCTGGACATGGGGTTCTCGATATACTGGAGCAGGATACATCAACCCTTGGCTGAGGACACGAGTGCCCTGGATGACGACGAGGCCCTGCCTTGGGGCGCACATTGCCACGTGACCCTTAAGGCAAGCAGGTTGTGTGTCCATAGTACTTGGTTGCCATGTTTGCACTACATCCACTTCAGTGACTTGATAAGCTGGCTGTGGCCAAGATGGCCCGCGCAACTGTCCCTGTTCCTTTCGTGCACGTGCTCCCTGCCAGGCCAGGAAGCACCCATCTAAATAGGAAACAGCTTTCTACCATCCAGGTACGTGGCAGGCCTGGTTCCCACTGCTCTTGGAGTCAGCTTTTAAGGTTACCTGTGCCTCTGCTTGGCCCACCCTGGCTGGCAGGACTGCATGTTTCCATCCTGTTTGCCTCTTTATTTTAATGCCAAAGTTTTAGCCAAAGACATCTTCCTCCTTTTGTCATGTTCAGCATTCTATTCTGCACTGTGGGCCAGTCCCTTGCCCCAACCCTGGGTACTGTCCCTTGGCCAGGCCACTCGGAGCTCAAGGCCTCTCGGAGCTCAAGGAAGGCTGGGCTACTTGATTCCTTCATGGATATTGCTAAAGGAAAATAGCATATATGTGCTTTAAAAATATTAATCCTTTTGAAAAGAATTGAGAAGAGAAATGTATAATTTTATCCCATTTTTAATATTTTGGTCTAGCAACTTGTGATACATAGATGAAAATTTTTGTGAGTTTTTCAAATGTGTATACAGACTTTTGTAAATATGACTTTTGTAATTAACTCATGTACAGCCTCATCCTGTATAGTTCATGAATGTGCAGGGGACCTGCCCCACGTGCCAGTATGGTTCCTGGACCTACACTCAGGCCCCTGTGGCACTCCCATGACTTTGTGACTGACTAGTGTCTTCCCATTGGACTGTGGTCTGGCCAGAGACCCTGCATATCCCACTGCCGGGGTAGCCAGGACTGTGCCCATCTTCTTGGAATGGGGAAACTTCCTTGTTCCCTGCCTACATCCCTTCTCCAATAAAGCACCTATGCCCTCAGCAATGGCCCACTGTGTGCTGCTGCTGAGATGTTTGTACTAAAATCAGTGTGGAAGTACTGGTCTTTTGAAGGAGGGGTGGTTGAGGAACATGAATTTATAGTGGAGGAATCTTAGAAGGGCCCCTCAGTTCCTCTAAAGTGACTGAGACAGCTGTCAGGACATTGGCCTCATTGTCTGGGTTTAGGAGCTGGGAAGACTTTAGGTAAGACAATGATAGTTCTCCCTGTACTTGGCTCCATCCCTGGTGTTTCAGGCAGATTTGGGCCCAGGAGGGGTTGACTCTAGAAAAGTAAAGTTCAGCCAGGCTCTGATAGCAAATGCCTGTAATCCTAGCTACTCTGGAGACTGAGATCTGAGGATCATAATTCAAAACCAGCCTGGACAGGAAAGTCAGTGAGACTTATCTCCAACTAACCACTAGAAAACTGGAAGTGGAGCTGTGATTCAAATGGTAGAGCGCTAGCCTTGAGCTGAAACGCTCAGGGACAGTGCCCAGGCCCAAAGTTCAAGCCCCACGACCGGAAAAAAGAAAGAAAAGCAAAGCTCAGAGGGGAGAAATATAAAGTGGACACAAGGGTGGCCACGGTCCAATTTGGATGAGCAGGTGGGGAGCAAAATGTCTACTTTTAGCTGGTTGAGCAGACTGCCTGCCACAACAGTCCATGAAGCCCCAGGTCTGGTCTTGAGATTTCTGTGTTTATACTGACCCAAGGGTTCTAACCACACCTACACACCACTGTGGATGATGATATTTGCTCCTAGGAGGCCTAACATACTTCTTTAGGGCCTGTGAGGCAAAACATGGTTATCCACCACCTGGGCCCTATCTCAGTGGGTCCAGATCCGCTGTTGGTAGTGTGAGCCCGCAGGAGCCAAGCTCCATCTCCATTCTCTGGGATCCTTCTGAAGCAGACACGATGGGCTGGGGGAAAGCCACACACACCCCCATAATCGGTACAGTATTGGAAGCCTCTTTAAGCTGCCCTCTGGCTCCATCTTCAGGCAGAGTGAGGAGAACGTTGGGGCTAAGAGCTCCATTGAAAGGGGACAGCAGCCACCGGCTGTGGATGCGCACAGACCGGCCCGTGTTGTCGGTGCAGCAGGTGCCACATAAGCCAAATATCAGAGGCGGAGAGCCCGTGCACTAGCACCAGTTCGCGGTAGAAGCAGGGGTCAAAGGTGCGCAGATGAGGCGCGGCTGAAGGCTGGGAAATGCCAAAGGTACGGAAAGCGGAGTGAGACTCAGGTGTGAGCCGCAGGCGCTGCAGACACATGCCTAGAAAGACATCATCGATGGGAAAGAGCTCAACCTGCGCGCAGGCAGCGGCCAGGCGGCGCAGCGTGGCCCTGGAAAGCACGAAGCCCCCTCCGCCCGCGTAGGCCGGATAGGCAGGCAGGCCGTACACAGCCTCGGGGATGTAGTACTTGCTCGCCCTCGCACGGATTGGCCGCGCCTGCACAATCACGTCGCCCGCAAGCAAGTCCTGGGTGGGATCCCGAGGCGCCAGGAACTCCAGCAGGTTCCCCAAGTGCACAAACACATCAGCGTCGCCCTTAAAAATGAAGCGTGCTTCAGGGCAGAAGGCTGAGGCCCAGTTCAGAAAGTGGATCTCCTTGAGCGTCAGGTTGAAAAAGGTGTCGTCAAAAGCCCAGAGCAAGATGTCACCATATACCAGACTCTCAGCCCTCAGCAGCGCGCGCCAGTGAGTCGGCGTGCTCGGCCCTTCGGAGTCCCCGGGGTCGGTGCCTGCGGCCCGGGGCACACCCAGCAAGAACACGCGGCGCACGAGCGCCCCCTGCACGCGGCCCTCGGCACCCCACGTCTGGCGCACGGCCTGGCGCCGCTCGAAGTCTGCAGCCACCGACTTGACGGCGATGAGCAGATCCGGCTGAGGGCCGCGGCACTTGTGCGGCTGGTTGATGAGCAGCGCGAAGCGCCGCTGGTCCTTGGCGCGCAGGTAGCGGCCGAAGTCAAAAGGGCCCGGGGGCGTGGGTGGCACTGGCGTGTCCCCTTCGTAGGCCGGCGGGGCTACGTCGGGAGCCTGGAACTCGCGAGGCCCGGGGGTGGGCCTCTGGGTCGCCAGTCCTGGCGCTGGCGACAAGCTGGTCGTCGGGGCTGCCCCGTCACGCTGCGTGTAGAGTAGGAGGCCCAGGCTGGCACCGAGGAGCAGCGTCATGGACGCGTCCCGGCGGAGGCGCAGCCTCTTCCTCATGGCCGCTTAGCCAGCGCCCGCCCTCCCTTGCAGGGGTCACTTCGGGGTCCCCAGGCGGTGGTCGCAGGCCGGGGCTCCCAGTCCCGCCCTCCCCGAGAGGTGGAGACCGGAGGCCACGCCCCGGCCTCCAGCTAGCGGCGATCCATCCCCTGTGGTCAGCCTCTTCACCAGGGTCCTGAGCCACAACCTGAAGGAATAAGAGGGCGCCCGCTGGAAGCCGACTCGATGCAGCCCCCTCGGCTGGGGCCCAGGGCGGTGGCCCGCCCGCGGCGCTGAGACCCGAGCTTCGGCTCTACCCCCAGCCCCAGCCCCGCGCCGAAGCCCAATCCCGCTCTACTTTTCCTTCCCAGTCCCGGCTTCTGTTCCAGGGATCCCAACACTCACACTCAATCCCAGAGCGATGTAGCACCCGGATACCGGGACCTCGGGCTCGGTGCAGGGTCCCAAGGGCGGCCACGGCCGGGGCCTGGGCCAAATGCAGAGTTGGCAAGAAGGGGGGGGGGGGGGAGTGGTGCCACGTGACCCTCCAGCTGTGGGCGCCAGGACATCTGGAGCTGAGCTCCGCCCAGGCGCTAGGAGTGCCTGGGACACCTCCATCTCCAAGTGGAGACTAATCCCCGAGAGCATTGCTCACAGGCCCTTTCTCCTGGGAAAGCCTGCTCTTGGAGCTAGCGGAAGCTCTTCCAGTCTGCCTTCCTATGGCTTGGGAAGTGTCTGGTTACTCCTACCCCTTCTGTGGAGCAGATGAGACTGGGTTTTTAGGAGCCTCGAGCCCACCAGTGGGTTCCAAATCCCCAGGCTGAGCAGCTTGGTGTCCATCTGGCCATTACTGAGACCTACCCTTTCTTCTTCAGAGTCTTTTCTCAGCAACCCTGGTCCCACCAGGCAAGGGCTGCCCCTGGACACATGGCTTCCTCCTTTACCCCAGGCTCAGCCAAGTCTGCCATCCAGTAAGAACAAACACATAAACAAGATAGCTTGTCCATCCCTGCCAGCCACTCTCATAGCCAGATGGGGGTACCACTCCCCTAAGAGTTAACTGACTTGTCCAGGATCACACAAGTAGAAAGTACTGCCCCTAGGTCTTCTGTAAATCAGGAATCTTCTGGGATAGACGACATAGGACCAAATCTGTGTTCATTCTTCAGGAAAGCACCTAAGTCTTTTCTTCCCAGGACTAGTCTTAGTTTTGAATCCCCTGGTCTTCAGTATAGACTTCTCAGGAAGGAAAGATCACCATGCCTAAAGTCACTGAAGGCTGGCCAAGGAAGCCCCTAAAAAAGCCAGTGAGCAAAAGCTTGACCTGCATAGGGAGCAGGTGGTTCACATCTGTAATCCTAGTTACTCCAGAAGCCAAGATCCAGAAAATTGCAGCTAGAAGGCTGGTCCAGATTAAAAAGAAAAAAAGAAAAGAAAAAAAATTGAGGCTGGTGGCTCATGCTTGTAATCCTAGCTATTCAGAAGGCTGAGATCTGAGGATAGCGGTTCAAAGCCAGCCCGGGCAGGAAAGTCTGTGAGACTCTTATCTCCAGTAAACCACCAGAAAATCAAAAGTGGCACTGTGGCTCAAGCTCAAGTGGAAGAGCGCTTACCTTGAGCTGAAGAGCTCAAGGACAGCGCCCAGGCCCAGAACCACAACCGAAAAAAAAAAAAAAAAAAAAAAGTTGGGTAACCGCATTTCAACAGAAAAAAAGCTGGGCATAATACACAGGAAAATGTGCCTGCACAACTTTCTGAGGAGGGAGTTTGGGGCCCCTGGATGTATTGTTCTAAGTTCAGGAAAAGGGTCAGAACTAAAGATTGGTGAATGAACAGGTGGGAGTAGGTAGGGTGAACCAAGAAATGGTATAATCCAAGGATAAACCAGCCACTATTGTAATACAGGGTAGCCAGACAGTCCAGATTGGGGATCATCCATTGCATTAAGAAGGTTCAGCCCAGCTGGGCACCAGTGGCTCACGCCTGTAATCCTAGCTATTCAGGAGGCTGAGATCTAAGGACCAAGGTTCAAAGCCAGCCCCAGGCAGGAAAAATCCATGAGACTTTTATCTCCAATTAGCCACCAGAAAACTGGTAGTGGTGCTGTGGCTCAAGTGGTAGAGCACTGGCCTTGAGTTGAAGAGCTCAGCGCGCAGGCCCAGAGTTCAAGCCCCATAACCAACCAAAAAATAAAAGAAGGTTCAGCCTAGTGGGAAGTGAGGTGATGGGAAAACTGGAGTAAAGGACCTCTAGATTGTGGACAGGGAGGAGTGAAGCTCACAGTGGAGGGTTTGCTCTTCAGGGAGGAAGCAGGAAGGAATTAAAGGAGAGGTACAGCCCCTAGAAAAAGGATGACAACACCACTGGCTCCAGGTGACTGTTTTCAAGACGCTTAATCTAAGGCAACAGTGGGAGGCCTGAGAGACAGAGACAGAGAATGGGAGGTCCTGAATTCAAACCCCAATACACGCAGAAATAATAAAATCCAAAGTCTGAGAGCCCATTTTACTGTGAAATTTCCCTAGCAATGTATTTGGAATCATTTTTTTTTTTTCTAATTCAAGCCCAAGGGATCAGACATAATTAAAACAAGATTGTTTTAGAACCCAAGTGGTAAAAATGGTTCATCAGACTACTTATCCCTCCCGTGTTACTCATCAATCCCTCCCCCATCCAACCATTCAAAAGTTGATGTCTGTTGGAATGCACCTCCCACAAAACCCTCACTTGAGCCAGCTGCATTCCACCTGAGTCTGCTGTGCCTAAAACACTGTCCTTGGAAAAACTCCCCCGCTCCCTCCTGCTCACCTCATCTCTTCCAGATCTCTGCACGTGCAAAATGACTACACT